CTCCACCGTCAGATCCAGATTCGCGACCGACTTCCTCTCCTCTGCTTTCAGGTTGTACGACTGGATCGTGCGGTGGTTGAGGAGCTCGCCGTCGCCTTTGTGGAAGAGCCTCTGCCTCGCGACGGGGACGCCGAGCATGGACTGGATGGCCTGCTTCAGGTCGAGGACGGTGGCGGAGGGAGACGGCAGTGGGACCTCCGGAGCCAGTGTGCGGCCGTTGATCTTGAATTTCGTCGCGGTGGCCATGATTCGCGGCGGATTTTCAGGCTGTGCTCGAATGCGTTGCTGGATTTTTGCAATGTGGATTGATCGATGGAAGGCTAATTTGCTCACTCGCTTTCTTGATGTGTATATATAGTTACGGTAGCATGCTTGTTGACGGAGCGTGAAATTACTGAAATAGGAATCCTAGGGGTTCTAGAGTCTTCCGGGGAAGGACAAAATTGTCATACGCATATTAATGGGTTAATACTCTAGTTTGGCCTGAAGTTTAGCGTGAGTGACAGTTTTGACCCCATTTTTCAAATAAGACATTTATGACATACTTTTGAAATTATTGGACAAATTTGGCCTGAAACTTGTGTTGACCGTTAATATTAACGGTCAAACACTTATTCCATTAGTGACTCATCAAAGAACTACTGACGTGGCTTATACATGGTGCCATGTCATTAAATAAAATATTTCTTAATTTTCTAATTCAATTAATAAAAAAAATAAAAATAACCCCAAAACCCCCAACCTCCTACGGTCCTACCCTTATCTCTTCCTCCCGCCGCCTCATTCCCACTGATTCAACCCCTTCTTCCGCCGAGACCCGCCTCTACATCCCCAGACGAGACAAAGAGAAGAGGAAGTTGCTGGTGTTGGTGTACTTCCACGCCGGCGCGTTCAAGGGTAAGACGCCGTCGGGGTGAAACGAGCGGCTGTGGAAGAAGATCTGCGGGGGCGCGGGGCAGGGCTTTTGAGTGGGACTGGTTCCTTTTCCTCTTCTTCGTCCTCGACATGCGCTTCGGCGGCGAGGGATTTTCAACGGGCGGCGCCCAAATTGATTCTCTTTTCTTCTTTTTCCTTGTTCCTCCACCGCGGTCGCTGTACCCTCAGATTCCACTCCGTCGTCGTTAAGATCGATGGATTCGGACCCGATTCAGGTTTTGTTCGTCTTCTCCCTCAGCCGAACGAACTGGTGGATGTTCGTCTTCTCCCTCACACCGTCGCTGCTATAAACCCACCGCCCTTCAACTCTCTCTCCAACGATCCTCTCTCATTCCCCGATATCTGCTTCCTCCGCACCAGATCTGAGTTGATGGCGATGATGTCGAGCTTTTTGTGGGCTCGATTGTCGACTAGAGAGAGGGAGGAGGTTGGTGGCGAAGGCGCCGGTAGGCCATCGATCGAGGAGAAGGGACCGCGACGACGATAATCGTTACCGTCGAGACCCGAACACCTCCCTCCTTCTGCTCGCGTCGTCTTCTTTCGATGGTTCGTTACAAAACTCATCCACCTCTGGCGCTGGTCGGGATTGAAATTGTAGGAGCAATTTTGTTGATTTCCCCTCTGTTTGACATGGGTGAATTACTTCCTTTCTCAATGACGCCGAGGGCACCATCTATCACGGCGAGGGAGTGGGTTTGGGCGATTGGAGGTTTGTCCAAGAGGAGAGTGGAAAAAGTCTTAGGGAAAAAATATTTATATATTTAATTAGTTTTTATTTTTTAATTTAATAAATGATGACGTTTAAGATCCTAGTCAGCACCAAATACTGAGTCACTAACGGAAAAATCATTGACCGTCAATTTTGACGGTCAATTTAAAACCCATGCCAAATTTGTCCAATAATTTGGAAAGTAGGCCACAACTGTCTTATTTGAAAAATTGGGCCAAAACTGACATATACGCCAAACTTCGGGCCAAACTAGGGTATTAACCCCATATTAATCAGTTATATTTTCGTTTCCCGTTTGGACTGACTTGCTGAACAAGATTTCCTCTTCTATCTCACGATTTTTGGCTTCTTGCTGAGCAAATAATGTATTTTTCTTTTTCCATAATGCGTGCAAAATATTTAGGCCAAACGGCTGAAATAACAAAAACGGCTGAAAAAATCTTATCAGACTTTCGCATTTGGACCCAATTACACCTATGAATTCTAATTTGGGCCGAGTGAACCTCTCCACTCTAAGCTACGGGTAAAATCTTCTCAATGTTAACATAAGTTAAAAATTATTAACAGTTTATAAAACGAGAGAAAAAAGGCTAATGTCAAATCAAGATTGACTAATCATATTGTACCACTGGTTCGACAAAAAATATAATTTCAAATGTTTAATTATTGGATAATATTTAACGATATAAAATGATTGACCACGATTAAATCTCAATTCATACCGCTAAATGATATTCGATAACTATTTATTAGATAGTTAGTAAAATAATTTTTCTTAAAAGAAAAACAACACTTGTAACGTTTCTATTTCAATTTTCTTTCATTCATTCGTCATTACTATTTTTTTTAGTAAAAAACCTGCGCGTCATTACTATTGAGATTTTGTGATTTACCATAACATCGGTCGATTAATTAAACCATACATGCCAAAGTCCAAAGAAATACAAATTCTCACAAGTAGAACACACAATTGTTGAAAGATGAAACCCAAAGCCCATTTCCCCTCTCTTCTTCCTCCTCCTCTCCCTTCTACTCAGAGAGATAAACATTGATATGGGTAATGGTGTCCACCCCATCGGTAACATGCTGATCCTCCTGCTGAATCGTCTCAATCGTCGCGTACCCTTTAGCATCCTCATACTTCCCGGTCCCGCCCACCACCGCGATGTGCGACACCGGCGACGCGTTCCGGTGAATCCCGAAGAAGCTAATCGTATCCTCCACCGCCTCATGCTCTTTCTCCCCGCCGTGTCCGTGCAGCAACAAGCTCAGCGACAGCGTGTGGCTGGTCCCGTCTAGCGAGCTCGCCAGGTAGAACCCTTGGGCCTTCCCCAAAACCGCCGACCCAAGTTCGTGGCCCTCCGTCAATTCGTCGTCGAACACCGTAATCGACCCGAACATCAGCTTCTGGAGGGTCAGCCCCGCCGGGAGCTGCCCGGCGGTGACGAACGGCTGGCTGCCGCTCGCCGGATTGACGACGCTGCTGCCGCTGCTGCCGGCGTTCTGGAGGACGGTGTTGGTAGTCTGTTGGGATCTGGCGCTGCCGGGGTTCAGGCCGGTCATTAAGGGGGCGGTGTTTGGGTTGATTAGGTTGTTGATGTTGTTAGGGTTCAGCAGCGGGGTTCCTCCTTGGAGCGGGAAGATGTTGTTGTTCGGGCTGGAGAATGGGATTCCGTTGATGTCGGTTCTCGCGATTAGGCCGGCGACTACTCTCGCCGACGGGTGGGTTCCTCCCAGGATGTCGTGCATAAAGAAGGACAGCGCTGGGGCACCGGCTGCTACAGTGGCGGTGGTTGTGGCGGCCGCCGGAGCAGCTGGAAGAGCGGTGGGGCTGGGAATTGGGGCTTCATCCTCTACGACAGGAGGAGGAGTGGCCGGCGGTGCTTCGTCGGCAACAGGGGCGGGGACCGCTGGAGGAGTGATTTCGGTGTCGGGGAGTGGTGGGTCAGCTGATTCGTCGGAGTCGTCATCATCTACCGGCGCGGCGGCGGCGGGGATCGGGCCGCTTGGTAATGCGGTGGTGGGAACCAGAGTTGATGCTGAAGAGGGAGTTGGGTTGAGCTCGTCAAGGAGTCTGGCAGCATTGGCACAGGACATTAGAGCAATGGCTGCCAGAAGGAGAAGGCAGAAGCTACTGGCAAAGGGTTTCGCCATTGGGATTACAGAAGGGGAAACTAGTTGGAATTTTGGGAAGGGGGTATGGATTGTGAAGGTTTTGAAATGGAGTTTGATAATGGTGGAGGGAGTGGTGAACTTGAGAGTATATATAGCTTTTGCTAGTGCTGCTTTTGAGTCTCTCTGCTCGACCTGTGGAGCTGTTGAGATGGAGTTGGTGAGCACCTGAACTGCAATTCCTCAACTGACCCATGAGATTCAGGTTAGTTGATCTTGATTATAATTGAACTTAGTTTAGTCGTTGCTCCCCTTAACATCAAAGAGCATGTACTTATTCTGCTGGATAGTTGAGTAGGTTTACTTGGGTGGAACAGATGGGTGTTTTTTGGAACCTCTTGCTGCAACCAGCCCAGGGGAAAGTCTCAGAATGTAGTTCTTTTATTCGTTGGTCATTTCAAAACTTTGATGAATTACAAGATATAGAAGCATGAACTGAATCACCAATTGAAATTCCATCTGCCTATTCGGAGTCTAGTTTAGTTTTATTGTTCCATTCAACTCCTATGAGCGCAGATGGTTTTAGTGCTTTCGATGATTTGGATAAAAGGGCAACTGGGCTATATGGGTATGGGCAAAAGAGCAAGATTCTCAGAATTGCAGTAGCGAATTCAGTTTACTAATAAGGTTCATTTCTGAATTCAGAGTTTCACCAGCCTTTACTCAAAGATCTTGAAGAAGGTTGGACTATACCAAGTCTACTAACCCTTCTCTGCTATCTTGATGGCCTTTATAGTCTAGAATGTGGATCTAAAATCATGTTTCTGTAGGATAGTCCCCAGTTATGAACATAGGATATAGTTCTTTGATTCCCCGTTGTTATCAGCTGCTGCTACTGTGTTTTGGTGAATTCTTCAGTCTATCATGATGGTTGTTTATTCAAACAAGTGCAATGTTAGCCAATTGAGCTTTCATCGCCTACGTTAGGCGGGAACATAGATGCAGTCATAGAGTTCACTTCATGGTTCTTTCTTTTTGCCTCCGAACGTGTTGATTTTGAGCAGTTTTCAATTTTAACGCGTCATCAAACATGGTCTAGATATTGCAGACTTGATTACTTGTTAGGGAGAGCGGATTAGCATGTCGATAGTCATCCTCCATAGGGAAGCAATCGAGCTGCTTTTTCTAGCATGATCTCTTACGTTTATATCAACTCAAAGGACTAGCCGAGATACACAGTGAACAAAAGGAACTCATCCCTTCTGTACTCTTCAACAATAGCAAAATTAGAGCTTAAATCCACAACTTCCATTACAGCAAACCCGTTAGCACCCTCATACTTCCCCGCCCCACCAATCACAGCAATGTGAGACTCGCCCTTATTTCTCTTGCTATGCACCCCGAAAAACCTCAACCCATCGCCATTGATTCCCTTCTGATCTCCACCCCAGCAGCTACTCCCTCCACCGTTCAAGTTTGCAGTCATTGCCACCATGTAGCTGGTTCCATCCTCCGAGCTAGCCACATACACACCTTCCTCTCTCCCAACGACGATGGAACCATAACTTGTGTTAGTAAACAACTCCTCGTTTATCTCTGCCGCGCTCCCAAACTCAAACTCCTCCAGGGCAGCTCGGGCTGAGAATGATAGCAAGCCAATTTTGGAGTCGTCAAGGCTTGCTTAGTGAATCCGGCGGCGGCTGAAACCGTTGGGACAATGGAAGGTTGTTGTGGGATCAGAATGCCTGTGCTTGGAGGGAAGAGGCCTAGAGGCTTTGGAGATGGGATTTGGCTGGTGAGCTTTGTGGTGGCTGCATGGTATGTTGCATTGAGTAAGTTCTGCATTAGGAAGGTGAGGTTCTGATGAAGGTGGTGGTGGGTGGAAGGCGGCGTTGGGTTGGCTATGGTTCGAGCTAAGGAGGAGGAATGGTTGATGATAGTGGCGATGAAGATGGAGTAGCAGAAGATGAACATGGTTAGGGATGAAGGGAGATTGAAGGTTTTCATAGTTGGAAGGTGATGATGATTGTTTCTCTTTTTTTGTGTTAGCTTTGTGTTTTTTACCAACTTCGGTTATATATGAGAATTTAAAAGTTTTGGGGAGGATTGGAATTTGGAATGAGCCATTTTTTACTTTCTGTGTTGGGGTTGTTATTATGTCGTAGTCATAGTTTGATAACATGCATATAAACTGGTTTGTCCCTTAAACCATACTAGTAATTGTATACCGTTGGGCGGATGAATTTTGTTAATTGTACAGATAAACATAGTAATTGTTGGAAGAAAGTCATGTCTTATTTCATATCATGAAATTTTTCAAATCATTAAGTTTTGAAATATTATACTGGTATAATTTCAACATGCTAATCCGATGTATTGACTAAAGTCATTACTGAAAGTAAAAACAAAAGTCATGCATTATTGCAAAATTTATTTTTGATTTCTTGTGATGGTTGTCTTTGCCCTTTAAAGACCGTCATCTCCACCAATTATAATGCATTTGTCTTCCTTAACGAAACTTGTATCTTCAAAATAGGTTGTTCATATTTTTTCATTATAAGTCAATCTTCAATAGTAAAATATTTAACACACTAAACATTACATACAATAGAATTTACGTCTCATGAACATTTTATGAGATTTTTTCTTTCCCCAATACAAACAACCCACTTTTACGTCTCATGAACGTTTATTTTTTCTTATAAATCTGCAGTTTTTATTTCCCAATTTTAAAAAATGGCTTAGGAAAGTTTAGTGGTCAACAATGAAAATAATTCAACTTGCCATGAATGCTATTTTCTATCTGTGGTGGTTTTATTTTTAATTTGTAAATCATGAATTAGGTGGGGAGTATCATGATCATTTTAAGTTGACTTTAGGAAGATTGGAAGCTTAGTCAAAGTCCAGTAAGTAAGGTGAGACTCGCTTTCATAACAATCTAACAAAAATTGATGATGGTGGAGAATACGATTAGGAATTGCCGCATAGATCGCGTACCATTATAGAAGAATTGATAGTTCATGGGATGCTATTATATATGATGATAGACTAACATACTTTTTAATTCCAAATATGTCAAAATGTATATCATTTTGTTAGTATAATAAATTTGATTTTTAGTTAAATGGATACAATAAAATACCGCTGCTAATAATAATTTCAATAAATTTATAGAGATGAATTTTACAATACCTCATACAGTCATACTATTGTTGCTTTCATTTAAAATAAAAACATTTATGATACGAATTGAACTTATATAATTAACGCTATAATTAAGTTCATTTTGTGTCTATACTTTTTTTTATAAAAATTTATAGTACAAACTGAACTTGAACTTTTAATATTATGTTACAAATTTAGTTGTACCTATATTTCTCATACATATTCATTTACGATACAAACTGAACGTATAACTTTAACATTATGGTACAATTTGTAGCTATATAATTTCGTACAAATTACTTTATAATACAAATTGAATTTATACTTTAGCATTGTGGTACACATTCAGGTTGTAGCTGCAAACACCAATAATATGAAATATATATATAAAATATTAATTAAAAGGAAATTTTTTTCTTTTTAGTTTGGCGAGAACACTATTTAATCGACAAAAAAAAAAAAAAAAAAAAAATGCTGAGAGGAGCTCTCTCCTCTCTCATCGGCTTTGCCTATTGGCTTGGCGATTGGATAACGATGATGCTGTCGTCCTGCTTCGCGGCAAGCCTGCGAAATCATCAAGCGGACTGGTATAGGGCAGCTACAATCCCCCGGGTGTGCTTCAAGAGTCGCGCATCGCGGCGGAGCACCCCGCCAAACGGTGGAGCTCCATCAGGTTATACCGGGAGTCGGAAAAATCTAATTGACGACCGGAAAAGGAAGCGAGGACCCATTGGGGGGGAGGATACTTCTCTCCCTCTCGGCCCTCAAAAAAGGGGCAGAGTACTGCCACCGAAGGGATGGCGGTTCTGGCTCCCACCAGCAATGGATTTGGGAGTCGAGAACTCGCCGGTTACCCACACTAAGATGAATAGAAATCCAACCAAAAACACCTTCTCTGAGAGGAATAAGGGGTGGCGTTTCTACCTCCCGACCGAGGTGATAACAGAGGAGGAGGAATTGCTGGTTCCCCACCCAGGAAGTGGGTTAAAATCAGCCCATATGACTTCGTCAAAGGATGATCACCATAGATCCATGAGTATTACGTGTTGGTTAACCTGGGATGCTGGTGCTCAACGACCGGCGTTGAGTAGCCGAGTAATCAAGGCGGCGGCCTTCACCGGAGAACACTGTGTCGGTGGCGGCGTTCGCTGGTCAGTGAAATCCAAAGTCATAAAATCGCGACAAAATCGGGGGACAGAATCCAAATCTGTTGTGACTCGATTACGCCGAGATTCACCGTGTTCCAAGGGGGGAATTTTGTGTGAATTTCTCTCTCGGATGACCAGAAACGGTTGCGAGTGGAGGAAGAGCAAATCTCCTAGTCCCACTGCAACTCAAACTGTTAAGAGTCACGGGCTGGATGGGATTGCCTCAAAGGAAGCAGCTTACGCTGCGTTCCTCCTTATTTATACCCCGCTGCTGCGGCTGCTGTACCACCAGTATCGACAGAAGCTTCGTGGGTGGACTCCTCCCGTTGCAGCAGCTAGCACTACACAAAGTTCGATAGACCAGAAATCAGTGGCAGGTACGGAGATCCTTGATTGCTCCTCCTATAAGGATGCTGATTTGGGCAATATAAATCATGCTAAAGGTCTAGTTGCTCCCTCAGGCAACGAAGCCCCTGCTCTTATTCTTAAACCCTCCCCGTGGGAGGTTCCCTATAATTTTACTGTTGAAGTAGACCATTTACCCTCTGCTTTTCAGTGGCAGGCGAGGAGAATGGTTCACGTTGCAGAGGACCAGGTGATTCAGTTCTCGCTGGATGAGGTGCAGTCCACCAGGCTCCGGGCCTCTCGTACGCTCCTGGGACGTTTGTGCACGACTGACCAGCTATCTACTCTGGAGTTACGCGAGGCCCTCGTTGATGCTTGGCAGATTAAGGGGAGGGTGAAAGTTTCCATGACGAACCATGGCTTATATGAAATCATGCTGCCTAATGTGGAAGCAAAAAGCTGGGCGTTGAAACGCTCCCCTTGGGTTATCAAAGACAGAGTCCTCATCCTCCGCAACTGGATGCCCGCAATACCCCAACAGATCTTTGAGGAGATGTCGATAGCCCCCTTTCGTATTCAGCTCTGGGGAGTGCAAAAGGACTGCTGTACTAAGCTCTTTGGGCGGAAGATGGTGTCGGCAGCCATTGGTCAAGTCCTCGAGTCCGATATCTTTGCTTGCCAGGAGTCGGGAGAAAGATTCATCAAAGTTCGGGCGGTCGTGGACTTCGCTAAACCGCTCCGATCGCAACTAATGGCGAAAAGCGAAGACATCGACGGGTTTTGGGTGAGCCTGAAGTATGAATTCCTTCCCATCTTCTGCTACCATTGTGGTCGCGTCGGCCACGCTCGCCGCGATTGCACGTTTGACCCGCCAAAAGGGAAGGAGCGCTTTGGCCCTCACATGTCGACCAAAAAACTCGGTAGAAGAGTCTATGATGATGATGAGGGCGATAACTTGAGGGCGGGTGGACCTAGGCAGGCGGTATGGTTTAATCGTCAAGGCCAAGCTGGGACCAATACCGCCCGAACCTATGTTCGCGATCGTGAGGTGAAAATGCAGGGGAACAGGAAAACTGGCGACGGGGTACTACCCATGGCGGCGAACAACGCTAGCCAGACAAGTAACGGGACCCGGATTCGTGGCGTGAGGTCTCCTCCGGGCAAGATCGCTAGCCCGCGGGGGTTCCCCATTATGAAGCATCCCCGGGTTCAGTTGGGGAGAGGACGAGGTGGAACGTTAGATAAGCGTGACAAGGCAAATGATCACAGGAAACAAAAAGCTGTGGGGCGGAGGGGTGGAGAGCCTCGTGCTGACGCGAAAGAGAACTCATCTGAGATGTCGGGGGACTCGCCGGGAATCCGGGCGGCAACCCGCCGTCGGCGATTGCTCTTGGACAACGATTCAGATGATGATGCTCTTGACCTGGATCGGGGAAAGCATGATGAGGGTCTGGTGGATACGACTTGGGCTGAGCCTAAGTTGCTGAAGCGGCTGGTCCCTAAGCCCACTTTGCTTGGGCCGGGATCGCCAGGGGGCCCAGCAGAGGCACATAATGTGCTGGGGGAAGTTTCGGCTGATGGTGGGGGTAACCCTTCCGTGGGTTTGGGCTCGGCCCAGCCTCCGATCCCCCATAATCCAACACAGGCTCCGGCGCGGCCCACTAGGCGGAATAAGGCTCGCCTGACCAAGAAATCAGAGGGCCGAGCGGGTCCAAGTAAGGGAGGCCCGAAACAGTGTAAATCGGGTGGGCTTAATCTGTCAAAGCCGCTGGATGAGGTTGAGGCGGCGGGCCGGGAAGCCTGTGCGGCGCCTAGTGAAGAAATTATCAGGGCTCTTGTGTCAGACAATTCTGATTCGGAGGAGGACGCAGGCGGCTTTGAAATCAAGAGGAGAGCGCCCGCCTCTGGTCCGACGCCCCCGGCTGGTCAAACCAAAGGGCGGGTTAGCCGAGTCGTAGCTGCTTTTGAGGCGGGACTCCCCAGCAACACTGAGACTCAGCAATGTTCGCTGGAACAAGCGGGAGGAGCTCATCTGACTCCGCCGGACCAAGTGGTGATACAGGGAGATGGCCCAGACCTGGATGAGTATGGGACCAATTTATTGAACCCAGTGATCGGGGTACGCAAGCGCCCTTTGGAGGTGGTTGATGGTGATGTGGGTGAGATGCCCTCGCCAAAGAAACAATTTGTTGAAGATGATGAGACCATAGACAAGGTGGAGGAAGCCAGCCTCGAGTGGCCCCAATCAGATAAATGAGGCTCTTGGCCTGGAATGTGAGGGGAATTGGACCATCCCTCACATTCCAAACGGCTCTA